ATCTACTTTAAATAGCCATAATTGGTGATTTTCCAGATCAAAGGTCTTTCTCAGATCAATGAGCAGAGCTTGTCTATATTGATTACTAGCCATGCCTATGAAAATATCATTTGTTACCTCGGGACTGATAGTGGAATGAAGAGGCTAACACCAAATTGGAAGGAGATCAATGAGTTTCATGTAGATAAAAATAAGCATGTTACCTGAGAAGAGAACATCAATTTTTTATGGACCAAACAGCAAAGGAAAAAAAAAATCTAGTAGGTCAGTTCTCTGAATGCTCAGAATGCCTTCTTATTCATAGTGAAACTTCTTCTAACCTAGCAGAATTTCATCAAAGGGGAGAGGAAATAAAAGAGTTGAGAATATTTAATTTATATTGATTGCTATGAAAAAATCTCTATATTTTATTTTTTAAAGCCTAAGTCTTACTTTTTCTGAATATTTATGAAAAGCAATCAAAATATCTGATTTTTCTGCGAACTTTATTTCATGTAACTATTTCATATACTGATGCCTATGGCTTCTGCTGCATTAAAAATAATCTGGTTGACTAAGAGAATGATTAACTTGGAACAACTTAAACTAAGGAATCATCTGAACAAAATGTGAGTTTTGAAAGTAAGATTTTGACAGAATTTTTCCCCCCTTCCCCTGACATATTTAATGCCATTCATAGGTTAAATTACTTCCAACTATAGACAGTCAGGTCTATTAAGGTATTCCTATGCCCTGAATGCTCAGAAAGTTTTAGCTAAGTCAGGCTTGATATGAGAGAATGCAGATGTTACAATCACACAATCAGAAGCAATGAATTTGGTTGAGATTTATCCATGCTACCAGAGGCAGACACTGCAGTTTTAGCTATCTGTGTCTAGGCAGAGGGAATTTACAAAAGAAGATGTAATAAGCAGAACTTATCTAAAAGAGGTAAAATAGAAAATCAAGCCTAGAACAAAAAGAACAAGAATACTGGTGTAACTGAGAATAAGAAGAGAATAAAGGTAAAGGAACAAGCTGAAAATGAAGACTGACACATTTTCCAGTGGACTAACTGCGTACAGAAGCTTTGTGCCTAATGACATGTTTTGCAAGAAGGTTGAGCAATTCCTTTATCAGTCCCTCAATCATCTTCTCAAATTTGTCCATTCTGATCTTACAGAGGGCCATAATGTATACACTTCAGTTGAAAAGTTTTATGCTTCAGAGGTCATTTCACTTCCTCTGTGAACCAGGAACTTCTTTGGATATGAAATTCTCAAACTCTGGAATTGTCCTTTGGGGGTGTAGCTTCAGAGTGGAATATTGGTACCATATAGAAACCTTCTACAGTAAGTCAAAAATTGAAGTTATTAGCTTTCAGCATTAGAGTAAACAAATCAACTGTAATGCACATATGCAGTGTTTGGTTTCCAGGATAGATGGTATTTTATACCTGATCATTGTAGATGTCTATGCCATGGAAGTGAATACCTAATCAGGGACCATAATGCTCACTGGTATTTTTTATTGTCATGGCCCGCACACACCTTAGAAGCTTCCATTCAAAGAGAAGTTGCCTGTGATCCTTAAAACTTATCAGACACAGAGTGTTGGGACAGTTCAAACCATAAGTAAAAATTAATACAGAAAAATCCATGTCCAAAGTGAGCTAATATCAGTCTTTCCAGCTCATGATCAGTTGGCTGAGCATGGAAATGTGGTTTTGGGGTAGTGGCAAGAAGTCTCAGTATTATGTAGAGTGAACAAGTCACAAAACAAAGAAGTTCATTCAAAGTTATGTGAAGGGTTTCAGAGATAAGGTCCAGACCCAGAACTGAAAGGGACAGACAAGAACCTGAAGGCCAACTGAAGAAGGTACAGCCCCAGCAGATGATTGGAATAAAATTAGAACCAGGGACTGACTAGGATAGGAGGACCAGTCACCTTTTCCAAGACCTGAAACAAACATGCAGCCCACAGGGATGTCTTGGATACAAGTTCAGATCCCTTTTACTAGTGGGAAGGAGCTTCGAGGTTCAAGTGGGTACCTGGTAGAAAAGGGGGGCAGTGTGAGGTTTCACATGACAAGTTTTGCTGAGAGCTAAAGAAGAGCCACGGCAGATGGGGTAAATTTGGTGAGTTGATAGTTCCATTGCACTTATCAAAGACCTTGATACGGCATTTACTCAGGGGACAGGGAACAGGATCAAAGTCTCTCTCAACCAAATAAACAGCGGAGGACTAGAGACATACCATGATGTTCACTGACCACTCAGCAGTGTATATGTTATGTGGGGTTTATATTTTCTTTTCTCATGTCTGTGTTTCTTAAAATATCTGCAGCGAACATTTATTACTATTGTAATAAAAAGATCTGATTTCAACATGACATGTTTTGAAATGGTACTTTATTACACTATCTGTATAAAGAACAAATAAGTAATTTAACTGGTTATTTGTTCAACATATAAACAGTATACTTACTGTCTTTTTTTCACATTCTCCATACTCATAGACCAATTTGATTGGAGAAACATCTTTGAGTAAACTCTTACAAACATTTTGTGTATGATAACAGACAACTGATAAACTGCTAGTTTAAATTTATTCATTGAATTAACAAATGTGAATAAGATTATATATATATAAATATTACTATACATCAATCAAAAGTAGTATTCAAAGCCAGAAGAATTATTAGAAAATTGATTATTTTGAATTATATTTATATTTTTCTTGGAAAGAAAACGAGACAATAAGTAGCTATGTAAGTTTTTATTACTTAATTGCAGTTATCAGTATATTAATTATAAGAGCTGTGCTTTCAGACTATAATATTTATATACTTCTCAGATTAATATCTTTGGAATGATTCACAACATTGATAACATTGACTGTTTTCAAACAGGGAATTGTGATAAGGGAATTGCTGTATGTTTTCAATACTTTTTAAATATTGAATATAAGAATGTGTTACCTATTTCATAACTAGATACATATTTAAACAAAAGTTGAAGTAAATTGTCTTTGTAGTAAGTGGGAAGTTAAGACAATACTTGGATAATGCACTGTGAGTGCCTGAATATAAGAAGAGGTTTCCATCTTCCCACTGTCTTCCAAAAGGACAGAATTATTTGCTTTACATTTGAGCCCTTACAGAATAGCTCATGTTATAGCTGCTTTCCCAATTACCTTATTTTGAACATCAACGTTCCATTTGGCAAGTCATTTTATTAGTGTTACAATCAATGCTAGCTTTGCATGACCTTAGAGGTTAACGGATGGGATTTTTACAAAAGCAGAAACAGAAATTGAACTCTATTTCTCAATAGGTTTTGGATTTCATTATAAATAATTCTGTTAAACATCACTTAAAAGTAATGTTGTACTTTATGGTTTGGAGATCAAAATAACAATGAAAAATAAGTTCCAATGTTAAGCTCATGGGTTCGTGTCTCTTGGGATATACTTTAGGGACAGTTCATAAAAAGAATGAAAATTGTGCAGTGTTGCAAAGAATGATAGGTGAAAATAAAACATATATTCTCTGGAAAAATGTGTTAAATAACTTTAAAAGTTTTTCTATTAATGAACAAGACACTGAGGTCAATGATGTGACTGGAGAATTGAATAAATTTTTCATGAAATTAAGGAATGGAGAAATTAAGAAGTAGAGAAAAGGGAATATTATACTATTATTTTATATAATATATTCTTTTAAATATATGTAACTAAAGAAATTATTGACTGAAAAAAATCTTTTATTGCGTCTTCTTATTGGAAAACTAGGGAGTTGCCTTATTGTGTGGTGACCTTATATTTGGTATTGTAAGGTATTTTAAACTTTCTCAAATAAATTTACTTTCAACATTTTCCAAAACTAAAGGTGAGATTTTGTTCATGCTTTTCTAACCATGTAGACTTTTAAATTATTGTTTAGTAAGGCTTTGAGATTCAGACAACTTTTATTCTACAGCCCTGTAAAATATCTCATAACTGCACAGGATGGTATAAAAACAGGTAAAATTGCCTTTGAATCACATCATTTTAAATGCATTACATCTCAAGGAGAAGATATAATACAAAACTAAAATCATTTTAATAAAGCTAGCTTAGGTCTCTTTGAGATTTTATTCCCCACAGTGTCAGGTAGACTACAGAATAAAAGCCATTCTGTTTCGTTATTAAAGACCAGTGTATCATCATAGAGTTTACAAATTATCCACAGCTACTTCAAATAAATACTTCTCCACAGTGCGGTGCTCTTAAAATATTTTGGATAGTTGAAACAAATCAAATGAACTCATGCACCCATGGAAAAAAATGCATGAAAGTTGAAAACATAAACACTACTGTGGCTTATGAAATTTGTAGATTAATGTAAACAGGGTGGCTAAAATGCTAATCTTTTATTTATTTAAAACAATGAGGGAGGTCATGAAAATAATTTACCATACTGACTCTGGCATGTAAGGGGAAAGTGAAGGCCCTGTCAGTAAAGAAAGGAATGTTAATACAAAATTAGTGTGCTAGATCCAACTCATGCTGTTTACTATAGCTTTGACATGAGATCACTCTTTTTCACTAAGGATAAAAAGTGACTGGTAAGCTTTTGTGATGAGTGATGCCTACGTAGAGCATAAGGGTTAAATATTAATTTTAAGCCTGAAATTAATATTAAAATTCACCATAAGCTAAAACTGCACATCTTAATGAATGTTTTAAAAATGACACACTTTAACCTGTGTACTGCAAGATAGTCATTTACATGTAAATAAACACAATTAAATTAAGCCAATTCATTAATTTAATTATAAATTTTCAACAAAATGTCTCTATTACTTTGGAGGAATGCCCATGTTTAATGCTTTCAAATGAAGGTCATGTGAGAAAATCTTGTTTTGTCAGGTGGATGGACTATAGTATACAGAGCTTTGATAAAAACCAGCTGCTATGACCTGATATTTGTTAAGGCTGAAAAACTAGACAGTGCAAACAAATACTATATCTTGGCTCAAAATACTTTCTACATCTGCCAACAATTAGTTATATATTGGACCTAGAAAGGGATGCTGAAAAACAGGGTAAGATTTCAGAGCAAGCAAATAAACAAGGGGCCCTGCATTATTCATCATCGAACAGATGCAGAGCTACTCCGGTTTTAGACTGAAGCGCAGACTGTCAATCCTAGAGTTCAGCAGATAGTGTTAGAAAAAAGGGTGGTGGGGACTTTGGAAGTTGCTAGTCTAATCAGATCACTGACTTAAGGATGCCACCCAATAACTGTTTATTATTCCAGATTGAAGAGACCATATAGAGAGGTTAGAAGAGTAACCCTCAGAAACAAAATTTCAAAAGCATTCAGATGTCATCTGCTGATATTTCTGGTCAATATTTATGACACAGTTTAAGGTGCAGTAGATAGACAGAACGAAGACTGGTCTTTACTGCTGTACCTACATTCCCCCAGAAAGCTACCTTTCTGATTCTCTGTTCAGTTTTCTTTCAAGGCCTACTCAACTTTCCTAAGATGGTGGGTCTATTCTGGATGATTTTTAAAACCTTGGCCCTGAAATATGACTTCCCAGATGAATTATTTATGGTATCATGATTGCCTATTTAGCCTTGTGTGTTCACCCTGTAACCCAAGAATTTTCATTTTCCTCTATCTCACACATAAATTCTTGGTCTCCCAGTCTACTGAAGTGGTCCTAACCATCATAAGCCAGTATGGCCTGGGAACATTGTTGTCATTGCCCAAAAATATTGCATGTCCCTATCACATTTGTTGCCACTGTCGGCTTTCCATGCCTTAGCAGGTTGATCTGCTTCCAACCAGAGGCAGTGAATCTCTTCCTTCTCTCCTTGCAGTGGATACCCATCTCAGAGCATTAAGCTGCTAGATGAAATATGCCAGTATTGCTGCCCAGAGCCAAGGGACTTCACTCATAAAGCTTCTCCCATAATTCTGCTCCTTCCAGTAACCCTGTCTCCTTCCCATTTCCCCCAGACTTCTGGTTACTCACCTCTTCAGAAGTGTTAATCAACAGACTCAGTGTCACGTATTATGTTTCTCTACTAAACTGACACTCTACAACTCTCTTTTTCTTCTTTGTTCAGCTGTGTGTCAGAGATGTCTGAAAATCAAGGATAAAATAGTATATATACACACACATATATATACATACACACATATATATACACACACACATACATATATATGTGTGTATATATAAACCTACATGTATACATGCATGTATCATATATATGTATGTGTGTATGTAGGTATATATGTATATATGCCATGTTAGATGCCATTATCTGTAGAATATGGGTAATTGAATTGGGTGGTAATAAAGATGTGTTAAACAAATAATTCTTTTAGACACAATCAACGTTTATTCAAGAACATTATTTTAAATTTCATTAGTAATAAAGCAAGAAAGTTTGGCTATAGAGCCTCTTCAATATAAAAAGAAGATGGACTTCCTACTCCTATATTCCACTTGAAAGAATAATTTAATTAAAAGGCAAAGCTGGCAGGAACTTTATAATCTGCATGCAATGCAGGATATTATATAATGACCTTCATTTAAAACCCAAATCATTAAAACTAGTAAGTCTAACTGGTGACAAGGGAGATTTCAACATCAGGCCCAACAGCTTAAAAATATGAATAAAAATCATAGCTTAAATGAATCAGTCCATTGAGAACTTACCGCAAAGTAAAATGAGAGAAGAAAAAAGTTACCTAGGCAATGAATCCTTCTGCTACACTATTTTATCTTTTGACATGTGCTTCTTGTGCTTCTTTTTCTCTTTTCTGAATTTCCTCCTCTGTATGACATAAACTGAAATCTATTTCCTAGGAAAAATTATTTGAGACAATTTGGATGCACCAGAGAAAATAATTTTTAGAGGTGGCTAAATCACTTCTCATCCACCCCAACCTTGTTTGTCACATAATCTCCAGAGAAGCAAGCATTTGAAATAATGTGAGGGAGCTGAGGTCCCTTAGAGGAGCACAGAGAATTGACTACTCCCTCATAACAATTCCTGGACATTTTTCAGCAGCAAGTCACGAGCTGAAAAGTACGTGTTTAGTTTCTGCAGCACATACCTTTGTTTTGGCATCAACTTTTTTATATGATAGCCACTCAATACAGATTTGATCAGATCAACGATTAGATCAACATTTAAGTAGGAGCAAATTCTTTTCTAGTTGTTGAAAATGTTTCTAAGCTTTGAGCAAAGCAGTATAACTAAATGACATTTTTATAAAAATTATATAATAATATTTTACATTCACAAAATTCTGTTTTCTTACTTTTTATCTCTCATTCTTTGTTTCTGTTCTCTGTTTACTTTTTCACATGAGTTATTATTAATCTAGTTTTCCTCTGTTTCCTAAAGGCCTGAATTCCCAGGCTGCAAACACCACCAACTTACCTTCTTTTTTTTTTTTCTGAGATGGAGTTTCGCTCTTGTGACCCAGGCTGGAGTTCAATGGCACGATCTGAGCTCACTGCAACCTCCGCCTCCTGGGTTCAGTCAATTCTCCTGCCTCAGCCTCCTGAGTAGCTAGGATTACAGGCACGCGCCACCATGCCCAGCTAATTTTTTGTATTTTTAGTAGAGACGGGGTCTTACCATGTTGACCAAGATGGTCTCAAGCTCTTGACCTCATGATCCACCCGCCTCGGCCTCCCAAAGTGCTGGGATTACTGCCAACGCACCCGGCCCAACTTACCTTCTTTTAGATGACTTTCAGAAGAGAATCAAGGAAGCCCAGAACACACCATCTTCTTTGGAAACATGATGCCAGAGTTACTAGGAGAAAGATGAAAATTAAGTCAAAGTGGTCACTTGATGTTATGTGAAAAAAGTTGTCGTGAGTTTATGACAACACACTTAACAATTGACTATGGTCTCATTCAGAAGTCGAATCTGCACCAAATCAATAGAATAAAAAATAAAACATTTCCTCAACCAGCTAGGTTATTTGCTTATAAGCAAACAACCAGTTGGACTAGTTACTTCAACATGAATTGACTAGACACTCTTGTTAACCAGTAATTTAGTCATTTAATTAGTCAAGCTAATTGCTTAAACAGATTGGACCAAACAAACTGATCTGTTGGTATTTATGTGGCATTAATGTAGTAAAGGCTAATACCATAGAAAGGAAAACCAAGAAAAGAAAAATAGATTTCATACCTGGAGTAAACTATCTTTATCCAGTAATTTTCCTGTTATTTCATTACAGAAAATAAATAGACATTAATTTTAGCAGAAAAAAATTTACTAAGGAGTGTAAAGACCGAGTTCCAGTCTTTGGTCATCTTCTTGGGGTGGTCACATTGGACAAAGGATGTGGGACTTTCTGGTCCTCATTTTCTTTGTCATAAAACCTTTGGGCTAGCTAGATGATTTCATAGGTCTGTTTAATTCTTGCTATCGATAGCCGGATGTAATATTAGATCTGTAATATATGTCCCAAAGGACAATATAAATATGAAGCTAGATAGGTCTTGAAGTCACTAAATTTCAATGAATATGTATTACTAATTAATGATATTGTTATTAGCATTTTATAATGCAGCTAAAAAGGAATATACTTGTAACTATATAAAATGATTACCAAAACTGACTTAATGCTATATAGTACACTAATAGAGTTTCTCTTGTTAAAAGTAATCCCAAAAGTGTTTTTAAGTAATTGATTGGCTTTTCAGTGACCTGATTTACAATAAAATAATTGAAACTTAAATGAAGCTAATAGTGATAACCTTAAAAGACACATAAAATGACAAACAAAAACCTTTGTACTAGTTGGCATTAATTTTATTTTATTTCTTTACATTCAGTTTAATAGCATATTAAAACATGTAATTATGAAACTTTGTATGTTTTTGAAGGAACGGAGTGAAATACTTTTTTCAATAGGCAAACCGATTCTCTTTGGAAAGTAATCTCTGAAATATTTTTCAGTTTTTAAGAATACAAGGAAATGAATTAACTTAGTTGTAGCAATGAACTAATGCTAACATGTCTTGAACTTTTAAGAAGTATTACAGTGCATATTATCCTACTATTTAACTTTGTGAAAATTGGCAAAGATTTATTGGGCAACTTTTATTTATTTAATGAACCACTCACTAACTCAACAAAGATGTACCAACAAAACTATAAGGTATGTATATATACTAGATAAAGCATGGACTTTGGAGATGAATATTCCAGTTCTACTATTTACAAGTTTTAACTTAGTAACTTCTTCCATGAATCTTTTTAAACCTTTCATTAATAATTTCTAACTCATATGCTTGTTTGTGGAGATTTCGAAGAGTAACACAGCAAAGCCAGGATATAATAAATTTTCTTGAACTGAATTATAATTACCTCTATCCTACTATACAATAGATTCTGTAATAGGTGTTTACAATTCACATATGAAACCCCATCTCTGCCCTTAAGGAATCTCAAAATCTAGAGTGTAAGTCTATTTATTTTGAGAATGGGAGAGGATGGGGGCTATACAGTAATGTAAATAAACTAAGAATTACTCTGAAAACCCAGAGACCTGGGCAACTACATTAATTGTGGAGATTAGCAAGTTTCCATCATTTTTACTTAGCTCTTAAAGAAAGAAGGAGAAAATTCATATTAAGGAGCAGGGAGATAAATTATATACAAGAAAAAAAACCAGCATGTTAAAGGCACAGAGTTGTAAAGGGGCTGGAATAAGCAGAAAACTGGTTAGAAATTCCACATAGCAGAGCACAGTGTGTGTGATGGTGAAAGAGATGACACAGATAATTGTTGTTGCCCCTATTGTAAGGATCTTTGTGTGGCGATCTAAAGAACTTGGAATTTACCCTATAATTTAGCCCAAATCCATAAAAGATTTTTTGACATATCAGTTTGCTTTGAGGAATGTTACTCAGGCAGTAGAGTGGAGGATGAATGCAAGTGTGCAAATCCCATGATGAGGCTATGAAAAAGGAAGATTGTTGTATAGACATGGAGCCATCAGCATACAGAAAGTGGGTTAGAATCCTTGGGGAAGGCTGGGATAATCTTGGGAAAATGGAATCAGATTTTTTAAAAGGATCAAACATAGAATTCAATAGAATACCAACATTTCAGGTGACAGATCAAATAAGGCAGATTATTTAGAAAGAAAAATCTAGAGAGAAACGAGGTGGATGGGCTCAAACACTTCCATCCTCTGAGATGGTCCCAGAAGCGTTAAATGGCGTGATGAAGCAAAGCACATTTCTCTGCCCACCTGTGTGCTTATTTACATGATCTGGTTTAGTAACTGTGTTATTGGGAGGTAGGCATAGTAGGTTCAATTGCTGTTGAGAAATAAGAAGCTAAAAATTCTTCAAAGGGTTGTCCAACTTTCACAGTGAAGTGAAAGAAGTGAAACAGGAAAGTACAGCAGCAGGAGGATGGTAACTTGAGTGAGTTATTCTGTGATACACTGTGTTTTCTCCTTAAAGACTGAAGTAGGAGAGAAGGAAATAAAATAATAGGGTACACTTTGGAAACAGGCTTTCCAGAAAGTGTAAAAGGGAGTTTTCTAGACAAAGTAAAATCAATGCTGGGCCCTGTGGAGGTGGAAAACTACATACTCAATACTAGTACTAATTTTTGTTATTTTGTGATTTTCTGCAAATAGGAGCAGAGAATATAAAGTTTGTGCTTTATCAGTTTCACTCCAAGTTGGGGAATTTCATGAATCTAGACTCTCCATAAAAGTTACAACATGAAATGCCTACAAGTGCTTTTTAGCACCCTAAAATTCATGATGCTGGCCAACTAGTGGTATGGGATGTGAGGAGCTGAAAATTTAGAGGTCTCAGATGCTCAGATACTGCAAATTATTATAATGAGAAAGTTTAGGTCCCTCGATTTTTTCAAAAGAAGGTGGAAATGCATATCTTAATATGAAATCTAATTTGAATATAAAATCTAATTTGGAACTATTGACTCTCGAAAACAAAATGAAGCACTGCTTAATAAATAACCAACAGCTCACTGTTGTGTGACTTGTGCTCCAAGTGATTCTCCTTATGAAATACCAAAGTCTACCTAATGTGTGTTAAAGTTGACAATGGTTTATAGTTCCATATGATACACGTAGATGTTTGTCTTACCAGAATAGAGTTTCAACCAAGATTTAGAGGCCATTCAGAAATGATTTAAAGAAGTTTGGCTGATTACTTGGAAGCTGCAACCAAACCTGAATCCACAAGACTGTTGAGGAGTTGGGATGTCATCATAACTTCTGTTACATTTCCCCTATTCTGGTTAATCATATTGACATGGAATGTAGTCCAAGCGCAGTGGTGCAGGCCTGTAATCCGAGCACTTTGGGAGGCTGAGACAGGCAGATCACTTTAGGTCAGGAGTTTGAGACCAGCCTGGCCAACATGGTGAAACTCCGTCTCTACTAAAAATACAAAATCAGCCAGGTGTGGTGGTGGATGCCTGTAGTCCCAGCTACTTGGGAAGCTGAGGCTGGAGAATCGCTTGAACCCAGGAGGTGGAGATTGGGGTGAGTGTAGATTACACCACTTTACTCCAGCCTGGGCGACAGACCGAGACTCTGTCTCAAAAAAGAAACAAACAAAAAAACTTATTTAAGTTCAATCTATATGAAAGAGAACAAGTAACAAATGACATAGGTTACTAGTAGTAAGTAGTAGGAGCTGGGATTTGAGAATCACTTGAACCCAGGAGGTGGAGGTTGCAGTGAGCCGATATCATGCCACTGCACTCCAGCCTGGACAACAGAGCAAGACTTCAAAAAAAAAAAGGAAATGGAATGCCTTCCTCACAGCCTGCACAATAACCCACTTTTGGGATGCCTAGGGAAAAACACATTTTAAAACAATTGAAATATTAGCTTGACACTTCTCAAAACTTTTTCTATATAGGCAATAAAAAGCTGCTTTCTGAATATATTATGTAAGATAACACTGGAATAAGATTAATAAAATATTTTTCTCATCTTCTATATGCATACCATTTGCTGGAAACAGAGGTGTCTAACCACTATCATCTTTCCCTGGTACTTAAAACAGTAAAAAAGCACAGATCAGAACTGAACATTCCCTGACTCTTGTCACTTGCATACAAATGTATTCGGATGACATAGCACTACTTAGAGTAAATCTGGAGCAGAAATAACTCCAGCTTCTGACTGATTTCAGTTTCACTTGTTCCTAGTTTAGAGATAATAGATTAGTATTAAATGGAAATAAGTCAAGGTCATGCTTTTTTGGTCATAAGTGAAATTCATCAGCCTCAGCCTTTTCCCCTATATCTCCTCTGACTTGTGCTGAAACTTTTCCTATTCAGATGAGTTATGTTGGAGAATTTGAGTAGTATTTCTGTAGTAGGCTTCAATATGATATTCACGGTCCTTAGTAAGGAAATTACACTACCTGTCAAATTGATGTTCAAATGCTACCATGCCTTTATGGGACGGCTTTCCTCTCCTTTGATATTATATGTTTCCAATAGAGCAGACAGATTTTTTCAAGTTGAGATGAGACATTCATTATTAACTCAAAAGGTTTTCATTGGCTGATTAGTTTGCTCTCCAGTCAAGTTCTGAACACTCACATTTCTTTTAACCACTTTTGATTCACTAATAATTTCTTTTCTAATAGGCTCAATTTTTCCATCTTTCCATGTCTGGGAAGCATTTATTATTTTCTTACTTAACAGAGAGAATATAGCACTGCCTGACCTTCATCTTCTCTTTATCTGCATGGTGATAATAATTACAGATTGAGGATTTTTGTTTTCTAAGC